TTGGCTTATAATAAGGAGGGGTGTGGTTTGTTGATATGAACGGAGTAAAGCGAGAAATAGGTGGGTGGGTGGAGGGGGGGGGGGGGGGGGGATTGTGTCGAGGGGAGCTCTTTAAGGAGTGATATTAAGCGAGGAGATTTGTCACCGAGATGTCTTAGGGAATGAGCTGATCGTTTTGTTGTGCGAGTGTGTGGAAGGTTGTGTGACGACGCATATATATAGTAAAAAATGATTATATGTATAGTGTGGAATACATAAGAATTTTTGTTGTAAGGTAGGGAATCTACCCATACCATTGTATCATGGCTCGACAATATGTGTATCAGCAAATTGCAACGCAGTCGAACAACCTAGCTAAGTCAGGAACAACTCTTTATGTATTGTGATATAATAACATCATAGCATTAATACGTCCATCATTGCGTCGATTGGGTCACCTGCATACACCATAGCCTTTAACGAAATGAACATTCATTTCCCATTGTCACTTGAGGTACAGATTGTTGGATGACACACTATTTAGAGAGGATGAGAAGTGGATGATTGTAACGATGTTCACAACCCGTATGTGTTTCTGAACTTTCTGGGTTATGCCACGACTTTAGAAGTGGTTGACAACGTTTTGCTAGTTGGTTGCATTGAGTCTGTTGCTCGTCCTGCTATCGAATTGGGAGTCTACCCCAACTATTGTAGCGAGGCTCAAAATCCTAAGTGTGTGAAAAACAATATTGCAAATTTGCAGTACAATACCACAACGCAGATTATCCGGGAACAATACTGAGCAATAATATTCAATACAATAGATCAGTAAGCATTTTGCTTTTAACCATCTACCTAGTTGGATGGGTCACCTCATCACATAAATAAGTGCAAGTAATCATTTAGTCGCCTAAGCATGCATTTAGGAGGATCTAGGTGAGGGAGGGGAAGAGAGGAATGAAGAGATTATCGAAAAGGACACTGATTGAGCAGGGGAGATAAAGGGAGAGAGGGAGAATCAGCGAAAGGAAGCCTTCTGTGTTTGGTCCAATTGCCATATTGGGAGAAGGAGGGTTGCGCATCCCTGAAGCGATTTTCGCCGTTTGCGCCAGACGACTTATCAAAGAGTGTGACACAAAGGTAAGCTACATATGTGGGTGGCTGTCTACATCAACAGGACCAATTACCAAAGGAGCGGGGGCATCTCATCCGTATAGCTTTTTTTTGGAAGGAGAGAGGACACTATTGTGAACAAGAAGGGGTAGGGGTTGTGAGAGGGAGGGCAGGGGAGCTGCCATAGGACGGGGGTCTGATATATAAATGTGGAGGGGGTATGGATATGAGGGGGTAGGGTGAGTGGGAATCGTCAATTGTCACAATCATAGTTGTCATTCTTCATGAGATAGATAGCCCCAATCTGACACATATGTACTTGATCTGCGTGTGCGTGGTATGGTGTCAAGCCTAGGCCGTACCGTTCGTCACATGGTGTGTCCAGGGTTCGTTTTCCTTGAGAGTAAAGGAGTGTGTAGAGGAGGAAGGAGCCTTGTTTGAGCGCCAAGAAAACCGTGATAGCAAGGTTAACGCTGCTTGAATGGTGGTGATTGCGTTTCTGATAGCTTTGGTCCTTGAGCAAGATTGGCAAGAGTTGGAATCTTGTTTGAGGAGGATTTTTGCATTTTCCTATGTATAATGTAGGCCATTTGTATTGCCTAAGTGTGTCAATCCTGGTCGAGGGTAGCGTACGTCCTGAATCGAGGTTTCTCGCATTTTTTCGATTGTGGGGGTTGCTCCTCTTCTATTTTGTGGAAGGTTTTTTTTTTTTTTTTTAACGTGATATTGGTTGAGAGGAGCTATGGGCATCCTCTTGGTATGGGGTGTAGGGGGCGGGGGAAATGTTTTGACCGAGGTGGTATTCGCCTTTTTGGCTATGTTCTATTTTTGTGTTTTGGGTTGGGATGGTGAAAAAGGGCGTGCCTTTGGGTGTGGTTCTGTAGTCTACAGATTGTTCATTTGTTGAGGCTGGAAGGTTTTTTGCTTTTGGCTGATTGTGGCAAGTTGGCAACCACATTTCGTTTTTTGGTTTTTTGGTTTGGCTATGGCAGGATCTTTTTCGTAGGAGTTCAACTTAAAAAAAAATATATATATTAGTGGGTTTTTGCACTCCGTATCGATCGGGGTGCTTGCTGTTTTATGCTGTTGTTTTCTTTTGGTTGCCTTATTCCTGATTCTCTGGTTCCATGTCTGTAGTGATGCTCTTTTTTTGTGTTTTTCATTTTTGTTATTGGTTTTTCGTTGCGGTTTTATAATCTGGCCTGGAGGACCAACTGGGGGCATGTGTTTTACGATTGGTTGTTTTCGTGGACTATTTTAGGAAGGGTACGTTAGTCTGTGAGGGTTTTTCTTAAGGGGTTTGTTTTCAGAGTATTGGTTTTGTGTGGTGATACATTTTTTTTTTTTTTTTTTGTAGGGGTTGGTTCGCCTTGGGAGGATTTTTTTTTGCGGCCTCTCGTTTTTGGTGTTTGAAGTGGTTTGTTGGTCTTATTTGATCATTATTGTGGACATATTTTTTTATGTGTTTATTATGTGTGTATGTAGGTTTCTCCGTGTGGATTTAACAAATTCTTGTGTGAGTAAGTGTATTTGTTTATCTATATGTATCTATGTGTGTATGTATGTGAGTTCTTTGTTTGTATGTGCGTAGGTGAGGATATGTATGTGTGTTGTGTGTATATGTGTATGTGTTGCGCGTATATCTGTGTGCATGTGAATGAGTGTGTGTGTGTGTGTGTGTGTGTGCGTATGTGTGTGTGTGTGCGCACGCGCGTGTGTGCATGTGCCGGGGGGGGGGGTACGACCCCCACCCCGCCAATCAATCAATCAATCAATCAATTAGTCAATTAATCACGTTCAAACACATAGAAGCAATCAATCAATTGATCATTCGAGTTTTTTTTCTTGTTTTTTTTTCACCCACCCCCCAACCGCCCTGCCAAAAGAAAAAATTATTATTTTATTTTTTTCGGGGGTCCATGATTTTTCTACCMCCCCCCCCCCCCGAACCCCCCCAATTTTGACCCCCCATTTCTTACCTTTTTTCTTATTTTGTATTTTGAGGGGGTGGGGCCTAGGTCCCTGTCCCGGAGTCCCGAGCTCAATGTTAGGGACCTGTTTCCCCTCGGTCGCGGGAGGCAGTTTCAACCACAACCGCAACGTTCATGACCACAACCTCGCGGCCCCGGCCACATGCTGCGGTTGTGGCTGCGATGACTGCGACCGATGAGGATTCGTTGCTGCATAGTATGCTTGAATCTGTGTAGCATCGTGTTCGGGTTCGGTGACTGAACCCAAACGTTCGGGACCGAATGTGAACGAACGCCGAAACTATCCAAACGCGAACATAAAAAAAAAAAAAAGTTCAGATTGACGGACCAAACTTGAGTTAAAAATAAAAAACCCAATTTTTTTTTTAACTCGAGTTTGGTTACGAATTTGAGTTGGGTTAAAAATAAAAAAGTTGAGATTGACGGACCAAACTCGAGTAAAAAATAAAAAACCCATTTTTTTAATTTTTTTTTTCAATATGTTCAGCTGAGCATGTTCGGGTGGCGTTCGGCGGAACACCCCAACATGTTCGGACGTTCGGAAAAGCTTTGAACATGTTCGGTGTGTTACACAGGCTTGAATTCGCAACACACCGAACTCATATGTGACCAAACTTAGTCTGTGTTCGGGTTTGGTGACCGAACCCGAATGTTCGGGACCGAACGCGAACGAACGCCGAAACTATCCAAACGTGAACATAAAAAAAAAAAAAAAAAGTTATCCAAAAAATCTGAAAACAATATATGTTATGTAACATAATAATGCCCAACTCAAATTCGTAACCAAACTCGAGTTAAAAATAAAAAATGGGTTTTTTATTTTTAACTCGAGTTTGGTCTGTCAATCTGAACCATTTTTTTTCTTGAGTTTGGTTACGAATTCAAGCCTGTGTAACACACCGAACTCATACGTGACCAAACTTAGCCTGTGTACGCACATACAAACAAAAAAGTCACACATACGAATTTGAGTTTGGTTACGAATATGCAGATTTGGAGGTATGCTCAAATTCGTAACCAAACTCGAGTTAAAAATAAAAAACCCATTTTTTTAATTTTTTTTTTTAATATGTTCAACTGAGCATGTTCGGGTGGCTTTCGGCCGAACACCCCAACATGTTCGGACGTTCGGAAAAGCTTTGAACATGTTCGGTGTGTTACACAGGCTTGAAAACCATGGTTTATGCTCGGGCACATTCGAGGTAGAGGCATCCCCTATGCATATTGACTTTTTCACTCTCTTCTTGCGCATGTGTTTGTCCCCTCACTGATCGCACACAAGGCTTGGCTCATTCGTCTCGTAAATGCTTAGCTTGCCTCGGTTGCGTGCCTACGAATTTTGTCCCTGACTCCACTACTGTCTTAACCCGAAGAAAATGTGTTTGCATTGTATACGAATACAATGTACGAATGTACTTGCATTGTACAACGAGTTTTAGGGTACAACTATGCAGGAGCTTGTAGCACCAAACATCTATGTAGCATCGTGTCCGCATTCGGTGACTGAACCCAAACGTTTGCGACCACACACGAACGAGCGCCAAAACCCTCCAAACGTGAACATTAAAAACAACAACAACAACAAGAATTAAGTTCTCATAAATATCTGATACAAATATATGTTACGCTAGGTTACCGGCCCGGACGTCTGGCCCACCCCGGGAAGTATCGGACTTTCGACCGGACTACCGGATCGGTGGTCCGGTGTCCGACAGAGGTCCGGCCCCGACGAAAAATAGGGGCCAGGTCTCTTAGGGGCTTAGGGTGGCGTGGGAGGGCAGTGCTTAAGTGTAGGGGTCCTGTTGGGCCTCAGTACCCACAATCCGAGGCCAGCAGGGCCCGAAAAAAATGAAACGAAAAAGTCCCAACCTGGGTCGTCCGATCATCCGATCGACGGACCAGATCGGGCCAGATTCAAGTTTCAAATTCAAATCACTGCAGGGGGGGGGGACCGCCCTCCCACGCCCACCGCCGCCCCTGCCCCGGCCCCGCCTGCCTGATAGTACCGCCCTCGCAATGACGAGCGTATGTGTGCGGTCGCGAGGACGCGACACTCCAGCCCCGCCATCTCCACCGCCATCTTGAGGTAAGTATGCACCACAACCCCTCCTCTTCCTCCTCCTCTACCTCGTGCTCCCCCTCCTTCGGGTCGTCCTCCTTTTCTTCTTCATCTTCTTCTTCTTCTTCTCAAATTTGTTGTTCTTCTTCTTTTACTTCTTCTTCGTCGTCGTCCTTGTAGTCCACCTCCATCTTCTCCTCCTCTATCTTCTCCTCCTCCTCTTCTTCTTCTTCTTCTTCTTCTTCTTCTTCTTCTTCTTCTTCTTCTTCTTCTACGTCGTCGTCGTCGTCGTCCTCTACTTCCTCTTCTTCATCGTCCTCTACTTCTTCTTCATCAAATTCTTCTTCGTTGTCCTCTTCTTTTTCGCCGTCATGTACTTCTTCGTCATCTTCTTCTTCGTTGTCCTCTTCTTCATCGTCTTCTTCTTCTTCGTCCTTTTCTTCGTCTTCCTCTTCTTCTTCGTTTTCTTCTTCTTCGTCCTCTTCTTCATCCTCTTCTTCGTCCTCTTCTTCGTCCTCTTCTTCTTCATTTTCTTCTTCTTTGTCCTCTTCTTCGTCGTTCTCTTCTTCGCCCTCTTCTTCTTCGTCCTCCTCTTCTTTGTCATATTCTTCTTCGTCCTCTTCCTCTTCGTCCTCCTCTTAGTCATCCTCTTCTTCTTGGTCGTCCTCTTCTTCTTCACCGTCCTCTACTTCGTCTTCGTCGTCGTCCTCTTCTTCTTCTTCTTCTTCTTCTTCTTCTTCTTCTTCTTCTTCTTCTTCTTCTTCTTCATTCTTCCTCTTTGTCTTCTTCTTTTTCATTCTTCTCCGCCTTCTCTTTTCTTATTCTTCTTCTTCGTCTTTTTCTTCTTCATTCTTCTTCATCCTCCTCCGCCCGCCCGCACCTCCGCCCGCCGCCTCCTCCTTCGTCCTCCACCCCTTATAATCAATCAATCAATCAGTCAATCAATCAATCAATCAATCAATCAATCAATCAATCAATCAATCAATCAATCAATCAAAATCAATCAATCAATCAATCAATCAATCAATCAATCAATCAATCAATCCGTCGATATCGACGGATTGATTGATTGATTGAATGATGCGTTTT